ACCCTCCACCCTCCAGAGCCTTCTATCCCCTTTACTGAACACACCAATGTGCTTTTTCTTCTATATTGATCCGAAAGTAGTTTTCTTAGGGGATACAGAAATTCGGGCAATTGTCAGGATAATTCAGCTGAAGTATGGGTTTTATTCAATTTTCTGTTTCATTTTGACACTGAGGACTTGGCCCTAAGCTGATGTCAGCTAAATTAATTTAAATGAAATCTGAGCTCTGTCATTTGTGGGGATTTGTTGGGAAGAAATCTGAAAAGACAAAGGAGTTTGTGTGTGTGTGTGTGTGTGTGAGAGAGAGAGAGAGAGAGAGCGAGGGAGAGATTTTGCAGTTCTAAATGTCCATCATTACAGAGATGATGGGAAAGAATAAGAAAGAGAAAAAATCAATAGCATTTTCTTGTTAAATTGTAGCACATATAAAGGTATGGCTCTTTGGTGGGGGATTTCTTCAAAAGAGAATTTTCTTGCTTGAGGGAATGTGTTTTTCTAAGTGAAAATACAGTTTATCCTCAATTTGAATTGCAAATCCTTCCAAAAGCAGAGTGGGAAGGAAGGGTAATGCCTAACGGGAATGAGTTCTTTCTACTTGGTTTTATAAAAACTTCCTGAGACAAGCTTTAAAAAAGCACAATTATTTTTAAAAATTCAGGTATCCTCCTGATCTGAATATTTTAGATAAATCAAAATAACCAGATAATTTTCTACAATATTAACTTGGTTTAAGATGGAAAAAAAAAAGACACTCAATACTTTTGCAGCTGGATGATTGGAAGCAGAAAATTGCAGGGTGTGTTTGGCAAACAGGACTCTAGAAATCAGATTTGTCTCTAGAGGGTAAACCACAGGCTGGAGAACAGGGCTAGAGATGTGGGGGAAGGAGAGATGAATTAACATTTGTTTGGCACATGCTGAGCAGTGGTGCTAAGTGATTTATATTTATACCTGGGACCACAGTGGGTTCTCCCCCCAGCCCTTTGTAGTGAGTGTCGTTACACCAAATTTGAACGGATGACTGAAACTCAAGGAGGAAAAGTGACTGGTCCCAAGTTCCCCAGCTGGGGAATTGGTGGGGAGGTTATTGGAACAGTTCACATGAGAGGCAAGGAGGGCACACTTGGGTGTGTCAGGGAGGGGACAGAAGCCAGAGACATCTGGAGGTGCATGTGCTGGGGCTCAGTGATGCTCTGGGTCAGGGACTGGTGAGCTGGAGGAGTCCCAGCTTGACGGCCATGGTCACTGGGCACAGGTGAGGTCCCTGAGAGGGATGGAGACCAAGAGGGGGCACTGGTTTGGGGAAGGGGTGGTTGGGTTTGTGCAGTGAAGACCCACAGGACACCGCAGGAGAGCTTGGCTTGTGGAGACAGGTTCAGGAGGGAGAGAATGATGTCACTTGGGTGGGGTGCTGAGAGCTTGGGAGGAGGGGGATGAGCCAGAGGCAGACTGGCCAGAGAGAGGGGGGGGAGGGAAGCCATGCGGCCAGGAAGCCAAGGGACAGAGAACAAGGCTTTGTGGTTTTGTTTTTTTTAAAAGCTCTTCAGGAAGTAATTCCAAAAGGCACAGAGCATGATGTAGGCCTGAGAGAGAGAGAGAACTATAAAGGGAAGCTGAGATGTTTAAAAAAGACATAAAAATTGGATTTTGAGGAAATAGCTTTCATTCTTAAAACAAACAAACAGGACGAAGATCTGCTTTGTTATCTCTGTCTTCCATCTTAATGAACAGGGTGGTCTTCCTGCGTGAATGAAAACACAATGAGATGAAATGACATTTTGTGAGCTTCAGGGGAGGCAAAGGGTCAAGTGAGATGAAGGAAGAGAAGAGAGGGGTGGGGGGCTGCTATGCAAATGGGGGTGTTTGCAGCCTGGTTGGAGGAGGGGCCCGTCCAGTCCACAACACTCCATGGGGGCCTGTCTGGCACTTTCCACGCGTCCCAGCAGGAAAGCCTGTGGGGAACAAGGCAGGAGGGGTCCGTTCTCCTTGCGGGATCTCCTGTATCCAGTTATACATGTTTTACTCTATAGCCGCAATAGAACTGGGGAACAACAGTGTTGGTAAAGGCATTTCCATGGATTTCGTTTTTCCCTTTTCTGTTTTCACCCCAAACTGGAGCTAAACATATAGATACAGAATAACTTTAGAGATCTACCTGGAAGGAATATAGTGTTTTTATTCTCTCCTTTCTCGGTTTTTGAGCAGAAATGTGACTCTCGTGGGATAAAGAACAGTGAGCAAGCTCATATACCTCCCGTATACACTTTCAGGTATGAGCCGATTAAAATGCTTGGACCATTTAGCAATGGGTCCTGGTGCCCTTCGCCGCTCGTTCTGAGTCAGTCCAGGAACCGCTGGTGCTGGCAGGCTCTTTTCTGGGGTCTCTGCGGGGAGTGAGCTTGGCTGGAGCTCAGGACCCACCTGCAGCTGCACCCCCAGCACCCTGGCAGCTGCAGCCTGTTCCTCCTCGCAGCCCTTCACAGTCCGGACCACCTGGGCAGGACGTACCCGGGCGCCTGCTTCACGCTCTGACCCATGGAGTTTTCCCTCTGGTTCCGAGAGACACTGCGGATTGCCCCCGCCCAGGGCCTTTGCACATTCTGTCTTCTCTGCCTGGAATACTCTTCTTCCTCACCTGAACTATCATCTCCTTAGGAGACCTTCTCAATTATTTTATCTCAACACTCTACCTGTCCCAGCACTTGCTACAACCCATAATTATTTTATTCCTTATTTATATGATCACTTCACTGTCTTTCCAATTAAGCTGTGAGCTCTTGTTGACTTTGCTGCTTTGTGTTCAAGGCACCTGGTACACAGTAGAAACTCACTAAGTATCTGGTGAGTGGAAGAACACAAAACAAAACAGTGCTTGGGGAGGGGGAGACACCCTCTGCCCAAAGGACAGGCTCCCGAAGTGAGCTTTACTGGCTTGCTGGCCAGCTAGATTGCTAACCCCACCTACTTCTTCCTTCTACTTGGCTGATCCATTAGCCACCATCCAGCCTCCTGAGGTCCTGGTAACCATGTCCCCTTGTTCCCTTCCTGCCTTATGCTCTTCACAGACCCTCAGCTGGCCTTCAACCCAGACATTCAGTTCACTTACTCCAGATCTGTTTACTGGGGGCCAGTATCTCCTGATCTGAGGACCTGATGTTCCTGGCCCAGGGAGGCAGTCCCACCCCTGCATACCCCCATAGCTTGTTTTCCACACAGGGGCCAGAAGAAACCCTTAAAAAATGCAAGTAGGGTCATGGCACTCCTCTCCTCAGAACCCCGCGAGGGCCCCCATTTCACTCTGAATAAAAGCCAAAGAGAGGCGTGACAGTGTCTGAGGAGGCCGCCCGTGCTCTGGAGCCTTGGCCCCCCCTTCTCTGAAGGGGGGCCATCTCCTGCCTCCCCCCCCCCCGCCGTCTGCATCTGGCCCCCTTGCTGTTCAGCAAACGAGCAGCCACCACGCTCCTGCCTCAGGCTTTTGCACTTGCAGCTACTCAAACATCCAGCTGACTCACTCCCTTCTCACCTTCAAGCCCTAACTTGGCTCACATGGCACCTTCTCGGGGAGGCCTTCCTGCCTACCCTATTTAAAATTGCTTCCTTCCTCCCCGGGCCTCCCCTTTCCCGGCGTTTTCTTCCAGAACACTTTACCACCACTTGATAAGTTATATTATTTACTTAGTTATCTTGTTAACAGCCTATCTTCCTCGCCACATATAAGGTCCTTGAGGACAAGGATTTTTGTTTTTCCCCGTCGCTCTACCACTAGATCCCGGCGCGGAGTAGCTGGCCCATTAGAGGTCTTCAGAACACACTGGCGAGTGAACGAGTACACATTTCAGCCAAAAGGCTTCTCAGAAAGAGGTGAGGCTTCAGGTATGCCTGAAGACCATAGCTTGTGTAAGGCTGGGCGCGGGGGGGTTGTTGCCAGCGCAGGCCAGGACGGCCACCCCTCTTGGCCCCCAGATGAGGAACACAGCCTGAGTCACCTGACAGGGGAGTCACCACCAGGCCCTGACTGGTCTCAGGGTTCATCAATTCAGGCCGAAAGGCCACTGATCGTGGAGGCTGTCTTAGCCTTTCCCCCGGAGAATATTCTTTCTGGCGGCTTAGCTCCTGCCCAACCCTCCGGGCCCGTGTGATACTCGGGAGTACTGTGGTCATGGATTAGGGTGATTTTACGGGCCACAAAGAGGAGACCCAGGGTTAATGGGGCTGAGGGCCCTGCCTTTCTTCATGGACCAGCTCCGTGAGGGCTGCTGGTGGTTTCCCAAATCGTCTTTCATGGCTGGTGAGTGTATGTTGCTTTCTCAGGTGGGTCTCTGTGAGAGGTCGCTCCTCCGAGGGGACAGCATAAACACCCACGAGGGGGGAGAAGGGGCGTGGGAAATGGGGTTTGGAATCAAAGTTTGTTGCCCTATAAAGAAAGTATGGCTTTTTTTGTCTTTACTGCTGTCTGGATTATTATTCCTTCCCCCTGCTCCAAACTTCAGACAACAAATCACACATTCACCTTCTATGTAAGCTAACCCTCTGGGGAGAAGGGGTAGCCATCCTGGTCCCTGCTCCTTGAAGCGTGAAGCGAGCCTGGGGTCTGTCCAACTCAGATTTCTAGGGTATATCCCGAAGTTAGTGCCCATTTAGACCATTCTCTTCCCTTCCATCTGCACAGGTGAGCACTTCATGTACGCGTTCCTTCATTATTTCCTCTCTCGTCCACACAGTCCGTTCTAGGCAGAGTTCTGAGATGGGCTCCAGATTCCCACCCCTGATGTGTGTGTGTTATACGGTCCCTCCTCTTGAATGAGGGAGGATTCATGACTCTGGTGGGCTTGCCTTGTGATTGGGACGCATTATGTGACAGAAAGGACTTTGCAGATGTGATTAAGATCCCTAAGCATTATCCTGGGTGGATCTGACAAGCCCTTAAAATCAGGCAAACCCTAAAAAGGGATCAGGCCCTTCCTGAAGGAAGAGGTTTGAAGGGTGGGAGTGTGGGACCGTGGGGCAAGGACTTGTCCTGTTCTGGGATATAGGGGACTGCGGCGGGTGGGAACTCCAGGCGTTAGCACCCCGAGCATCAACAGATGAAGGAAATGAAGCTTAGCAGGTGTCGCTCATGCTCAGAAGCAATGCCAGGGCTGGGACAAGAACCCGTGAGTCCTGAGCCCTGGCTGGCTGTCTGTCCTGCCCCTGCTCGGGGCTGCTGCCAGATGGACGCAGCTGCTGAGGGCCTCCTGGGTATTGCACACCTATTCTCCTCCTGGACAGTGACTGTTCCGTGACAGCCGGTGAGCGGGCATTTCGGAGAAACTTACAACTACTCAGCTGATTCGATTAAGCAGAAGTTGGTCTTGAGCTCTTGGCGCTCGAATCCTCCCTGCCCCACATCTGGTTCTAGCTCCCCTGCTCTGGGAAGATGGAATTTCCACTGGAAAAGGTTAGGCTACCCCAAGCCCCTCATTAATCTAAATTTTATTATTCATGTGGCAGAACTTGAGCTGCCTCTAATCACTTTGTAGTCCAGTGTGGGTAAGGAGGTAGGAAGTATAATTGGGTCATTACTTTTGGAGGACAATCTTGGGACAATATGGGCCAAAAGCCTTAAAATTATCCATATGCTTTGACCTCAAAATTCTAATTTTAGTTTTTGAGCAAATATTTAACTATAAGGATGCTCACTGGAGAATGTGTTATAGAAAACATCGGAAACAACCAAATGTCCTCTGGTAAGGGCTTGGGGAAATGATGGTACATCTGAACGATAGACTACCATGTAGTCATCAAAAATGAGATGGAAGACTAAGGACTCAGAAAGAGGTTTGCAGCATAGTTAGTCAGTTTCAAAGCGTGAAGAATCCGGTTCCAGAACCAGATCTCCCGGGTTGGAATCCCAGCCCCACCATTTCGTTGCTGGATGACATTGGACAAGCGACTTAACTTCTTTAAGACTTAATTACCCCATAAATGGGGGTAATAATTACATCATCACTCAGTTATTGGGAAAATGAAAGGAGATAATCCACACGATGTGCTTAGTGTAGCCTAGTACATAGTAAGCACTTGCTCAGTAAATATTACCATCATTGTTATGATCCTGCTTGTGATTTTAGAAACATACACATTAAAAAGGAAGGAAGAAAGGAAAGCAAAATGAAAATGGAGATCTCTGGGTGATAGAATCACATCACAGTGGCTTCATTTTCTTCCGTGTTTTCTTTTCTTTTTTTTTTTTTTAAGATTTTATTTTCTTAAGTAATCTCTATACTCAACGTGGGGCTCGAACTCACAACCCCGAGATCAAGAGCCGCATGCTTTCCTAACTGAGCCAGCCAGGCACCCCTTCTGTGTTCTCTTTATTTGCAGAATGCTGTACTACACATAAGAACTACTCTTGTGAAAAGGAAAAAAATCCACTAAGAACGAAAGAGGGAGAAGAGACTTGTCTTGAAGTGTTGAAGCCGTTGGGTAAGTTGCTCAGCTACCCCTGGGTCTTGGCTTAGGAGCCCAGAAGTTGGGCACGGTGGGGGAATCGGCAGAGGTTGGGCCCTGCCTGCCCGCCAGCCCCATCTGCTGACTGCGCTCACATTGCCCACACATCCGTCCCTGCCTTGCCCCAGCCCACGGGCACCCAGAAGCTCACAGGCCTGAGGGCTTAGCTGCCAGGGAAGGTGATGCCTAAGTCCAGCAGAGAGGAGAGGCCCCACTCATCTGTTTGTCCACATCTTATCAGCGCAGCGGCCAGGAAGAATTCATTAGAGGCCATCCCACTTCTTCTGCCTCTGTCTGCTCAGTCAGGCAGGCCATTCATTAGCATGTGTGACAAACGCCTTCCTGCAAACAGAAGCTTTAAGCAGCAGAGCCAAACTGTTTCAATCTCCTTGCAGGGACAGCAGGGGACATCCTGGAAGTAACTGACAGAGGGGGCTGGGTTGGGGCTTTAGGGCTTTAGGGCATCATATGAGGGCCCTGGAGGTGCTGTCCCCAGCCTAGGAAGATGAGAGAAGGGCCTGGAGCAGGAGAAGGGGGTCTGCACTGAGAAGGGCAGAAAGTGGGGGCATGCCTAGGGGTTGGGGGTCAGCTTTTCCTTCCCAGGGAATCTGCGGGCAGGCTGTGGGGGAGGGAGCTGAAAGGCCCTGGAGCCCGCATTGAGCCACAGGGGGATGGGATGGAGCCTGATGTCCTGCTGACCACAGTCATTCCGGCTCCATCCCTGTCTCTATGCAGTGGGGAGAGGAAGCGACCAGGAAAACACCTGCTGCAAGAAATTCTGAATGGAAATGCTGCTTCTGGGCAGATTTCAAAAATCTGTTATGTGTGTATTATTTCGACAGCTTTATTGAAGAATCATTCACATACCATAAATGGCACATATTGAAGTATACAAATGCAACAATCTTGAAACCATGAAATCATCACCGCAATCTGATGATGGACATTTGGCCTGTTTCCCCTTTTGGCTATTGTGAATGGCGAGGCTGTGGACATGCCTGTATATGTGTCTGTCTCGGTACCTGTTTCCAGTTCTTTTGGGTACATACCTAGGAGTGGAATTGCTGGGTCATATGGTAATTCCATGTTGAACTTCCTTTTTTTTTTTTTCTTTTAAAGATTTTATTTATTTATTTGACAGAGAGAGACACAGCGAGAGAGGGAACACAAGCAGGGGGAGTGGGAGAGGGAGAAGCTTAGGCTTCC